CCAGTGACTTAGCAGAATTTAAGTCATGACTAGATGCATGACGCGTATGACGTAATCATCTTCTTTTTTTGAAGTAACGTCTGTATTTTATAAGATAGATAAGATGAGTACTGTTACAGTATAACAAGAATTGATGTTGTAAACCAGTTCTTCATAACTTAGTATATTTTCCACTTGTGAACTAGTGTGATTTATCACAGACAGGTCTCTACTATCTGAAAGACACTGCAAGGTTAACGAGCCATCAAATTCTGTCAAAAATTTGATTATGTATTATTAGATATTTTTAAATGTCTAGGTAGATTAAGTATACGTTTAATTATAATATGTGTGTGTATCAAAGAATAGTTAATTTTTGTTTTATAATTATACTTGTTCCGAAGTTCAGACTAACAGACATACCTTACACACTTGGCTGTACATAAATTAATAAACAATGTGTATGATGATTTAAAATAAAAATAAATTTAATACAACGATATTTATACAATGATATTGAAATTAATGATGTGAATGATAAGTAATCAATAATAAATATAAAGATAAAAAGTCATAAATATATTCATAATAATTACTTAAATAATATTCATACATTAATCACCTTGCTATGATGTTACATCCACAAAAATGAAAAGGCACTGACAAAGATGTCAACAACTGCAACAAATCCCATAATTCGTAGCAAAGATTCGCTTCTGCAGCAGATACTGAATACACACTGGTAACATCAATCTTGGTAGCAGCATACAAGGACTGTCATTAACTTCTGACCAACAAGACTGACACAAATGCCGACCACTATGTCCAGGGTAATACTGGAACCCACAGTATCGATATGTAACGCCAACACAGAAACCCTATAGAAATAAATAACAGAGATTCTAATGCCTAATCTAAAACTACAAATACGAACGAATCCGTATAAAAAATACCATTACAATATAGAATAAAACTCACCCTAAACAGGGGTCAAATGGTCCAATGAAGAATAGACCCAAGGTAATATTGCTTAGGTTGGTCAGTGGCAAAAAAAAAAAGGAAATATTCATGACCTCAAAAAGTACAGTTTGATAGTAGTTTGTTTTCTTACGTAACAAATCTTCAGACCCAGTCCCTTTTTTTCTCCCATTGTAACAAATCGTAACAAATTTTTATACCCCCAACTCCACCCTTAGTCGTTACATAAAATCGGAAATTTCCACAACGTACTTAAATGTTAACCTTTAATTAAGACCTTGTATTAAATAACTGAACTATATATAACATAACATTATATCTCGTCAGCCCCACTGGAGTATGTGCTGCCAACTGTAAGACTCCATAGTTCCTTATCCTTGGCCATCCGTTCCACCCTGTTCCAGGCGTAATCCAACGAGGTGTCCGCCACTAGTTCAGCTTAGTTGGTTCCTTTCGGCTTCGGTCACGTTGCTTCATGCTTCGTCGGGTAAAGGCGCCTTCTACTTTCCGAACAAAGAGTTATCTTTCTTTTGTGGACTTTCTGTGGCGATTTTTCAAAATGTATTTTGGCCATGGCCAGGGCCTCTACTTTTTAATCATTTGGGAAAGACAGGCTGATGTCTTTTTACCTCATTGGTGGAGCTCAAGATATTATAGCCTAAAGAAGCTATTTTTTTAAATTTCATTATGAAAACAACTTTAACAAGCGAAATATAAAAATCTTGAAAAAAGAAAATCATATCTAAGGGAATAAACTCCGCACTTGCAACCATATCAATAATGTAGAAGTTAACTCCCTTATGGAATCTCAAAATAATTACCAATAATTAATTGACTAATTGCTTATTTTTTTAATTGTTTCATGTTCTGTAAGGTACAAAATAAGATAAGATAAGATGAAGTTCAAGCGTACTTAGCCTCCCGGCCACGCTTCCCACTATCTAAATAGAAACTGTTATTAGTAACAAGATCTATCTTAAACTTACCGCATGATGCTGGGAGGTAAATCAAAACCCGTTCAAAAGATGGTAAAACTATTCTTAGCTTCTTATAAAATAGAGTCAATGTATATATGAAATGTGTGTCTCCGAATCTTATAATTTTAGTTAAACACACAAATCGTGAAATTAGTGGCCATCTTATCTTATAAGATAAAAAAATGTCCATGTCTTGATTGAATCGTGATTGTTAATTTGAGACTTAAACATTGTTTCTCCTGGATGATTCAGGCAACTCGTTTGGAGCTATATTCTATTGATACTAAGAAACAATGAGCAATTATATGAATTTTTCCTAAATATAAAATAAGAATTATGTTAAAATACACACATTTCGTCCTAAATCTTATGTTATGAAAGTGTTCTAAGAAAGTTTATTTGTGGCCTAAAAAAGAATTTTTAAAAATATGTTGCCAAATTTGTGTTGTCATCATGTGAAACCAAGTGTTATTCGTAAACGGAACCTTAAAAGATAAAACTTAGTATAACATTTTTAAAAGCTTAAAAACACAGGTTTGAACGACTTTATTGGTTCTTGTATATCTTTAATCAGAGTACAAGTGTTTCTTCTTCCCTAGTGCCATAATGACATAATATACAAATGGGTTCAAATATCAATATGGAGCTTATATTATATAATATTTAACTAATTTTGATTAAAAAAACCTATGATTTCTCCATAAAAATAGGACCGCCCCCCCACACACACTCATGGGGCTAAAGTGAGGAGGGCAGTAGAGGTAGTCACCTCCCACCTCACCGAATCATAATACCAGAAGGGTAGTGACATAACATAAAAATGATATTGTAATTTAACTAATTTCGTTCACAAACTATGATTTCTCTATAAAATTAGGACCGCACCCCCCAATCCAAGGGTTTGGGTGTGTAGGGCAGTAGATGTGTTTGCACCCCCAGCAATCGGCTAACAGAGGAACGACATATTATGAGTGCTAGTATTAATACCAATAGCAAGTTTTAATCATGTAAATATTCAATTGATACTGTTAACAAGCTAAGGTATCCACCAATAAATTGGACCGCCCCCCACTCTATAGTTTATGGTGGTGGGGGTGGGGGCGGGATTGATGCTATTGCCACCTCCCCATCCCACAAAATCGGCCAACATACTAAAGGGGGGGGGGGCGAAATAATCAAAAATGGGTTGAAATATAAATAATTAGTATATTATACTAACATACTAATACATTCGTATACAAATTGTGTGATTTCTTTACTAAAATTCGTTTGGCCCCCCTTCGGGTGGAGGGGCAGCCGAGGGAGGGGTGATCGCCACTACCGCACCCCCTGGATCCGCCAGTGTTGTGTCCTGGGGTTAAGAAGACTGATGCGAAGTATTTATTTAGAATGTTAGCTTTAGTTTCATTATCATTATGAGTTATATTCTCCCTTTCATTGATTTACACCTGTTTCCATGTTTTTTCTTAGATTTAATGTATGGCTATAGATATATATTATTTTTCTTAGACATTTACTTTGTTTATGCATTCACTCTGCTGCTAGGTGCTTAATTTTTGGGTTATGTGTTTTAATTGTTAGATGCTTTTTATTGACAAGTTCAGCCTTAGTTTCCTTAAGTTTTTAAAAATACTTTTTTCTTCTATCTGCTCAGTATCTAACTTATTTTTTCCTAAACTTTATTTTGTTCGATGTTCAATGTATGTTCCGAAGCCTTGGTAAGAGCTCTTTTTTTTTCAGAGGTCACCTGTTGCCGGCTACTTTTCTCTATGCCATTGCGGTCAAAAGGGAGCTTGAGTTGATCTTAACACCGATTACGAGAGCAGTCCTCCTTTAACCAGCCTAATAAGTTCGCATTTGGTATGTGGCTGTCCCCCATGCAGCTTTCGAATGAGAAATAGTACTTCTATATTGTCCACACCAGCCTCCAGTAGAGCATGTTTATTTGTTTATTTGTAATGCGGACCTGCAGGCGTATTACCAGAATTACATACGAAACTGTCGTGATACAAAGTGTTGCTCAAAATGTGATCTTAAATCTAGCAATTTTCTGTAGTTAGATAAGTATGGCCTAGAAAATCGCTTGGGGTAAGCGTGCCTTATATGTACTGAAAAAAAAAGTTGTGTAAAAAAAAACCTAGTTAATTTTAAGGTAAAAGGTGTGTGCCAGAGGTGCTACTTGGCAATGTCAACTTTAGTAAATTGTAAATCAATAACTACAATGACTTTATTTATTTTTTTATTACTATCTTTAATATAAACTTTTATAATGATACAAAAAATTTATAAAAGCATTCAAGCAAGTTACAATTGATATAGTATGAGAATAAAAACATAAAGATATAAATATGTTATCAAAAATATTACGTCATTAAATACAGTATGTCAAAATAAAATAAAAAATATTAACCAAAAAAAAGTTATTAAAGTCTATTTAGAAAACTTTGTACGTATAAAGACTGCTGGTAGTGCGGTATGCGCGCTGGACTGTCGTTCAGACTTCTCCATGGTCCGGGCTCATACTCGTCCCCCTCTGCCATACCCGCCCTCCAACGGGAGGTTCGAACTTGAAAGTAAACATCTAAACATTGTTACAAACATCTCGTTTGAAAAAAATTAATACCAAAAAAATCCTTTATACCTCAGGATAAAATAAATTAAAACGTCAATGCAAAAATCTTTAAAAAAAAGTATTTTAAAAAAGTTTCGTTTTGTCTGACTGCTCACATCCCTACGTCTTCTATTGTTTATAGTTAATCAGAGTGAAGGCCATATATGCTCAATTACTGCTATCGGCACTGCCAACTTTCATTTAAAATTCTTCAAGGAACTAGGTTACAATGATGTAACCCAGAGTAACACAACTGATTTTTACTCTTTAGCACAACTCGATTCTCTGGCTGACTAACAAATATTGTCTCTGCCCAATTCCAGAGTATTTTATCTTAATTCAAATCTTTTTTTTATCTAATTCAAAAATATATAGAATATATGTATGTAATAGTTTGTATTTTTTTTTAATTTAATTTTTTTATAACTTTTTTTTTTAATTTTTTTTCCTTTATAGTTTTTTTTTTTTTTTTTTTTTTTTTTTACTATTCTAAAAGCAAAAAAATGTATTTAATGATTTGATTTAAAATTTGATTTTAACAAGATGAATTAGAATATAACATATTATATTATGATACCACGAATTCGGTATTATATAATAAATACAAAAATAAAAAAAATGCATAGAAAAGGTTTTGATAAAATGAAATTATAATTATTACAAGTGTCTAAATAAAGTATAAAAAGACAATTTTACTAGTCGTTGCAGTTTTAACAACAAAAAAACTACAAAAGTATAACTCAATGCTACAAATAAAAAAATGTAATTAAAAAATTAAACAAAAACTTTCTTTGCAAACCTGACTTCCCCGATGGGCTCAATCTAAAGCATTGTTTAAAGTGTAGATCGAATCATTCTCATGTCAGTATATTCTAGAAGTTTACCGTCACAGTTAATCCTATCAGTTATAAGTAGCGATTATGAGAGGAAATAAATGTTGCATTCCCTCAGCACTTATGCATTTAGAATTCTGTTTTTTACAATACCTCTATTCAACTCGTGACTTCGTGGATACTTCTGGGCACTAGCGGATCCAGAACATTGAAGGGGGGGGGGGGGGCGATTTTTTTTCCAAACCCTATTTCTAACGGTTAGTAGACCCTAACCCTACGCATAAACCTGCGAACAGCATACATATATATATATATATATGTAAATTTAAAAAAAGCAGTGTTTTTCAACCTTTGGCGAAAAAAACACAAAAAGCAGTCATGTTAAGGCCTTTCTCTTAATAGCTCGGGGGTCTGGGGGAGCGCTGTAAGCTTCCCAAGTGGGGTTCGGGGCAAAGCCCCGACGCCAAAAGCGTTTTCTTGCATTATTCACTGCAGAAACGCATTCTCCTAACATCTACAGCTCATTATTATTCATCAGTGGGGTTTTAGGTGAAGTCATAAGCGTTTTCTTGCATTTTTAACTGCAGAAACGCATTCTCCTGACATCTATAGCTCATTATTCATCCTATTAAAAATGACCTTTTGAAAAATGTTTTATTTGAAAATTATTTTATTATGAATATATAGGCTCTTACTACATTGCACATTGCAAATAAACGATTAGAAGATACCCCACATATTTGGATTAATGCTTTGAGGATCGCCGCCGAACTATAATTCAAAGTTCTAAACAAAAATTTTAGAAGTGGGAGGAGAAATTAAGTGTACCAATTAGATTCTACTCTAAATTTTGTTTGTTTTTTTTTTTTTTGCATTTTTAGGATTCAAACATAAATTGTGAGCTATAGTCCCAAATTTATTTAACTAGAAAAATATCATATTGAGTAAAAGTTGGAAAAAGGCGACTAGGAAAAGAATACTTGGGTTCAGAACTCATCTCAATTGTTACTCTTATATTGAAAAATTTCGTATGAATTCTAAATTTTCTAAAGCAAAGTCTTTCTTAAAAATTCATGTGAAATTACATAAACTACAAACAGAAAAAGTCATCGTTTGTCCGATGGGCGGAATGCGATTGCAGGTATCGCCCCTCCCACCTGGAACAACCCTTTTTCATTTTATATTTACTAATGATAAAATTTGAGATTAGAGTATGGTGCGACATAATATACTAATGGGTTCACGATTTAATACGTAGCTAATATTATATAGATATTCTAATTTTGTTCACAAACTATGATTTCTCCTTAAAAATAAGACCGCTCCCCCCAACACACACACTCAGAGGGCTAGAGTGGGAAGGGCAGTAGAGGCAATCACTCCCCCCCCTTACCCCACTGAATCGTCCAAGGTATCAGAAGGGGAGCGACATAATATAAATACTATATTTTAATTGATCTAATTTTGTTCACCAGCTATGATTTCCCCTAAAAGTAGGACCGCCCCCCACACACACACACTCAAAGGGTTTAGGTGGGAAGGGCAGTAGATATATTCGCCCCCCACCCCACCCGCCAAACAGGGGAACGACATAATATAAAGATTGGTTAAAACAGTGATGCCCAACCTAATCCGACCTTCGGGCCATTTTAGTTTCCGACACTCGTGTCGCGGGTCACATAACCGCAACGGTACAAACACGAAATGAAATCGACCTGTAAATATTTGATTACAAAATTAAGGATCTAGCACTTACATTAATTAATGGGATATCTACAAGTTATCTTTTTTTAGTTCGGAAAATAGCTTAATACTAAAAATGTAAGCAACAGCTAGCTAGCTGACGACTTTTTTTTTGTCTCTTCTTGTTACATTTTCCCATAAATCCTTCCATATCTAAGCGTAACTTAACTTTTTTTATTCGCGGCTCAAACCAGGAATGCCATCATAACTGTTATATAAAGCTGCTTATATGTTGTTGTTTTAAGCTACTTTCTTGACAAATAAAATACGTTGGCTTATGATCATGTTCCACTAAAAGTAAAAGCTTCGTTCAACTTTTCCTGGTAGATTCAACATTCAGAGTCCAGTTGTATTTTCTTTCCATTTCATAAACGTACCATTGTTGAATGTCATGGTCACAAATTCATTAGAGATAAAGTCAGGACCCTAATGTTCGTAAGATACTTTTTTCAACCTTTTTTTGTTTTTGGAAAGGAGAAGGGATTTTCTACACTTTGTGCCGACGTTTCGGCGGGCCGTAAAGAACCACGTCGCGGGCCGGATCTGGCAAGCGGGCCGTATTTTGGGCATCACTGGGTTAAAACATCAATAACAAGTTTTAATTATATAGATATTTATTATACTCTTCTAGCGAGCTGTGATTTCTACAAATAATTTGGACCGCCCCAACACTCAAAATTTATAAGGGGGGGGGGGGCGGAAATGATGTCATCGCCCCCTCCCAACCCCACCAAATCGGCCAACTCAGTAGAGGGGGGCAAAATAATCTAAAAATAGGTTAAAATATAAATAATTAGTATATTTTATTAACATAAGTAATAAATTCGAATACAAATTGTGTGAATTCTAAAATTCGTCCGCCCCCCCCCCCCCGAAGGCTATCGCCCCTACCGCACCCCCCCCCCCTGGATCCGCCAGTGCTTCTGGGTGGCAAAAACCTTTTGGGTGGAACCTGGATACGAATCTCGAAAAACGTCTCTAACGATTTCCCTAGAAATTTGGCAATTGATGTATATCGTTGGAAGAGAATTTCTAGCTCATTGACCACACTGAAAAAAAACTCCAGATTGCCGTTATAATTTTTCAATTTTGAAAAAATTAGAGAACGAAAAAATATCTACCTTGAAGTTGTATAAAGGAAGCGTCTTTTTGTTTTAAAGTATCTTTAATGTGTATTTTTTTTCTTGTTTTTTGTGATTCTTTGTAACAGCACTTTACATTCTTTTTTTTTTGTGTTCATTTTATTGTTCATCCTCCTATACACGAGACTTACACGAACACCTTACCAATGTATCCATTTATGGCGATAAAGTTTGTATGATCAAGTAAATCATTAGAAATTGTATTTATTAAAGGATCAAGTCATTCAAAATGAGTAAACCTAAAGAAGGATGTAAAGCTATTTTTACCGTTAGGAATCAAAAGGACAATCATTGAACTCTGAAAAGCGATCCTCAGGATCAAAAGTATAATCGCTGAGGTTTTGCAAGAGATCTTTAGGATCAAAAGGATTATCATTGAACCCTTGATTGAGATCTTCATCATGTAAATCAGGCAATGATTGCTGTATAGAATTAGCGTTATTGGTCCACAAATCAACCATATTACAGTTTTCCTCTGTTAGTGGAGTCACATGATCTGAAGTGGCAGAGGTTGATATTGTAAGTTTCAATGTGGAAAGGAAACTATTGTTAACATTAGAACTGTGACCATTTACAGTAGAGCCATTGAAATAAGAGCAGCATTCAGAATCTGGAGATGTGTAAATCTTTACGGTATCAGAATTTGAACTTCTATGCAAGAATTTATTAGAAAGGTCGCATTCAGAAGGTATAAGTGCGGTGTCAGGAGCCTGAGGAAAGATATGTCTGTCTGATGGCGGAGAACAATGTTTAGTATCTGAAGAATCTAGTGAATCTGACGAGGGTTGCCCTAAAGTAACGTCAGTTTTCAACGGAATTACAAGAGCATAGTTTGGATCTATTGGTGGAACAATAAACGCTGAAATGTCAGAAGATAGAGATGTTTCATAGTTTGAGTTCAAGGATCTACTTGAAGAAGGCATAATCTCAGAAGAAGGCATGTTTAAAAAATATTCTGTTTTGTTTAAAGTTTGAGAACCGAAAATGTCATCAATTATTGATGTCATGTTGTCATCATCCGAAGTCGCAGCCTCCGTGTTCGTTATTTGAGCATCAAGGTTAAGATCTTTATCTTTTAGTGATTTATGTGGCAAACTCTCGAGATTTAGCAAATGATGCTCCTTTTTTCTTTTATTTGAAGGAACTAAACTGTTCTCGTTTTCATCACCACTACAATATCTTTTGACTCCAACTAACTCTGTGACTTTTAATCCTAAATATTCGGAAAGGGTTTTTAGACAATTTGTAAAACGATTGATAGAGCTTCTACACATGGGATGGTTGCTTTCAGGTTTTTCAATACATTGAGCAATTGATGTTTGAATTGTTTCAAGCTTGTTAATATTACTGATCATTTCTGTGAGTAGAAACAATACCTCCGTTCTCCCAGCCCTCCATAGTTCGGCTTGATCTTTCAATTGTTCAGGGAACTGACCTATAGAAATCAAATATTTCTCAAGAGCCAAAAATTTCTCTCTTAGCTCGTCTATTGAGTCTTTAGGATTGGCTGTTGGGTTTTTCCAAGTTAGCTCCCACCACTCAGGTTTGTTTTGTTTATTCCATAAATTTGTCTTAATTCGCCCACATGCCTGGCGCACACGTTTGGAAAAAGCGCGAACGTTATTTTCAAGCCAGGCTTTTTCTGTTGTAATGGGATCTTTTTTAGAGACCAAAGTGTCCAAGGAAGAGCAAGGCTCATCCTGGCACTGGGGCCTGCAGCTCATTAGTTTGGCTGCAAATCAAGTTGACCAATGAAAGTCTATAAAGCAACTGTGATGCTTTTTGCGTTATTAATGAATATGTTGAATCCAACACTTCTTTAATAGGCTGATTGATATATAGTGGAATGTAATTTCCGCTCTGAAATAAAATAAAAATCAAAATAACTCGTTTAAATTTTCAGTTGAATAATGTATTTAACTGTATTTTTTTTTTTTTTAATTTTTAACAGGCAAAATAAAAACGATTAAATTTGAAACAAAGAACTTAAGGCTAAAACCTGGATAATATACATTTTTTATCTTTAAATAACAGTATCATATCCTTCCTGCTATACTATTACTTCTACGTTTTTAAATGAAAACTACTTTGATTAATCACCTTAAATTGTCCTGCAATCAACTAACGACTATAAAGACTGTAGTAATTTTCATTCTATTTTTTATTAAATAGATTTATCTATATATTATATTTATCTATATCCAATGTCAAGAACATCTAAAAAACTAAGCTTTTTTTCCAATTTTTAAAAACTGTTTATTAAATCAGTTTAGAGACTGGAGTTGACAACAATTTTTGTTTTACTTACACACGCACTCTGTTCTGCACTGAGTGCCTTATTAAAGTTTGAAGATCGCT